TCAGTCCAGTCTTCAAACTGGACAATGTGTCAGCCTCATGGACAGAAACTGGAAGTTGGTTCCACAAGAGAGGAACCTGAGAACTGAAAGATCTTCCTCCCATTCTGCTTTTGGAAACTCTAGGGACCACAAGTAAACCTGAAGTCTGAGAGTGAAGTGCTCTGTTAGGAAAATATGGAACAGTAAGATATGTAATATAACATGGAGCTAGGTTGTTGAGAGCTTTGTAGGTTAGAAGTAAGATTTCGAATTTGACAGGGAGTCACTGGAGAGAAGCTAAAACTGGAGAGATGTAATCTCTCCTACTAACTCCAGTTAAGACTCTAGCAGCAGCATTTTGGATCAACTGAAGCCTTTTTAAAGAAGTATTTGGACACCCAGATAAGAAACCATTGCAATAATTCAGTCTAGACGTGACAAATGCATGAACCAGTTTTTCAGCATCATTTTTAGATAAGATGTTACTAAATTAGGGCAGCACGGTGGCGCAACTGGTAGAGCTGATGCCTCTCAACGCACAGGCCTCTGGTTCAAATCCCGGTCCAGGGCCTTTCTGGGTGGAGTTTGCATGTTCTCTCCGTGCATGCGTGGGTTTTCTCCGGGTACTCCGGTTTCCTCCCACAGACCAAAAACATGCATGTTAGGCTGATTGGTAACTCTACATTGTCCATAGGTGTGAGTGAGAGAGTGAATGGTTTTGTCTCGTTTGTCTCTATGTGGCCCTGTGATGGACTGGAGACCTGTCTAGGGTGTCCCCCACCCCTCGCACAGTGATTGCTGGACATGGGCACCAGGGACCCCCGTGACCCAAAATGGAAGAAGCGGGTAAAAGATAATGGATGGATGTGACTAATTTTAGCAAGTTGTAGCCCTCTCTGTTAGAGCTCATGGGCTGTGAATGACTCTCAGCTACTACCACACCAAATGTTTTGCTCAACACCTGTAAATGTAACCGACTTGTAGCCATTTTGTGTTTTTTAAGGTCAGTCAGCCGTGGCAGCCATCGTGAATTGTGTTGAAATAAAAGTGAATCAGTTGTAAATAAATGTACCTCCAATGAGTCTTGTTTCTTAATTCTTTAAAAATATATATTTCAGTGGTTTATGAGATATTTTGCTAACATGCAGAAAGTTGATTCCAACATTTAAATGGTAAAGTTTTAAACACAGATCTTGTGGCGATCAGTTAACGCTCAGAATATTTGGGGGGGGTCAGTCTCAGCTACTACCACACTAAATTTAAAGTACATATCTGTGAAATTACCTGATGCAAAGCCATTTTGTCTATTTTATTAGTTATTATACATCTGCTGCTGCATTTCAGGGTGGCAACATATTCCTAACAAAGTAAAATATTTGTCCACTTTGTTATATATATATATATATATATATATATATATATATATATATATATAT